ATATATATATATATATATATATATATATATATATATATACACACACACACACACACACACACACACACACACTCACATACATACATACATACATACACATGTATTTTATCTGTTGCACATATCTTGACTACCTTACCTCTTGCTTAAAGCTCTGGATGATGATTTCTTCAGACATATTATATTTTTTCAGCTTTTCTAGCTGTTAATGACAGGGTATACTAAAACAATCTAATCTGTTTTTGCCAGAAGGAAAAAAATCTCTGATCTCTTTGTGTCACAGTACCAGTTTTATTTGCCATGCTCTGCTTTATTATTGTTACTAATGTCATATTACCTCATTACCCTTCTGTTTCAGAATTTCTTTAATGTTCCTACTTATTCATTTTTTGTGGTAAATGAACTTTCCAATTAGTTTCTCCAGTTGGCAAATAATTTCACTGGAAATCTTTATTATTGAGTGAATCAATTTAAGAATAATTGGAGTTATTTTAGTATTGCTGCCCAAGAATGGGTTCTATTTTTTTTCCCTTGGTAGCAAGGATCAAACGTAGGACTTTGCATTTGCCAGACAGACACTGTGCCGATGAGCTACATCACTGTTCCTGTCTTTCTATTATTCAGTACTTCTTTGAGGGCTTTTAGTAGCCTTTTTCTTTCATTATTTTTATCTTTCCACAGCAAGATGGATTCTGGATATACTCTGAGTATTGTAACAACCACCTGGATGCCTGCATGGAGCTTTCCAAACTGATGAAGGACAGCCGCTACCAGCACTTCTTTGAGGCCTGTCGTCTCTTGCAGCAGATGATTGACATTGCAATTGATGGCTTCCTTCTGACTCCAGTGCAGAAGATCTGCAAATATCCCTTACAGTTGGCTGAGCTCCTCAAGTACACAGCCCAAGACCACAGGTAAGATCTTAAGGGAGGCAACAGTGAGTTTCTTTTTCATGTTGGTTCTGATTAAGAATTTATTTCTTGGGCCAGGGATGTAGCTCAGCGGCACTGAGCCTGCCTGGCAAGCACAAGGTCCTGAGTTCTATTCTCTGGTTCCCCCTGAAAAAAGAAAAGAATGTATTTCTTTTTGCCATTTTTGATCATCTATCACATTATCTGCAAAATAGAATGATGTATTCTTTTTTTACTTTACAAGACTGTTATGTATAAAGTGAAGAAATGCCTTTGAGAGTTGCATGTAAAGTTATAATCAGTATATGCACAAAGTCTCTACGCATCATCATATTGTACAACTCATTCCCTACCTTCAGAGAGTGCAGTTTATATATTGCATCCACCAAAAATATATATACATCAGGAAAAGAAAACCTTATATAAATTTATTGAGACATCATGAGATTAATACCTTATCTTTGGCCTCTACAAATACAAGAGGTTCTCAAAGTGATGTTCATTACCTTCCAGTACAGCAAACTGCTGAAGTGTGTATGTATTGTTTTGGTGGACTCTGTATGGCTTGTTCCTTAGTCCTGAACTTAGTCTTATGAATCAACCGTAATAATATGTGTTTAACTGTATATTCCACTCTACTTGTAAGATTCAAATGCTTTGGTAACAAACAGCCTTCTCAATTTATACTGACCCTAGACTCCTGCAAGGAGTCTCCCTGGTCTCCTTTAACCTTTTCACCCTCTCTGCTTCACCCCAATTGTACATTTTCCGTAGATCCAGAGTATGCCTGGGGAAAAATAAACTTGAGACTTCCCCTGAAGTTTTTTTTTTTAACTTTTTAAGTAGTTTCAGTAAAATCAATGCAACAAGGTCCAAGCATATTATCTCTCTCTGAATGGAAAAGATACTCCTCACCTCCTACCAGTAAGGTACATGCTGAGAGTAATCCTGAATAATGCCGATGGCCAACAACAACCATCTCCACTCTTTCACATAATGACTTAGAGCCCTAGCCTGTGTCTAGGCTGCTTTTAACTGCTTTTAAATCCCTGACCTGAGATTTTGTTGGCCCAGCTTGTAGCCTTCTCTCTTAGATTAAGCACTCAAGAAAAAGAAGGCCTTTGTTCAGTTTCTTTCAGCTTTCTTCCTCTCCCTCTTAATAGCTCTGCTTCCTGGTTTTATTAGGCTCTATTGCCAGGTTTACTTGGGGCTGACTTCCAAATCCAAGTGCTAAAGTAATGGTTATGGGCCAGATATTTTCATGTGTGTCAAGCTTCTAGGCCAATACCTTGATTCATTTTGGAGTTGATGTTGCTTCGTTTGTAAATTATGAGTCATGTATTTCAGTGGAAAATTTCATATTTTAACCCAAATGTGTTGTCAATGAACTTTTTTTATAAAATTAACAAGGTCGGTGATAGATCTGCTGGCTGTGAGGGAGGCTCGTGTAACAGAACTTTGCAAAGGAGAGCTCTGTTTCCCTCTTCTCTGAGGCAGTTTACAAGCCAGGGATCAGTGTGTGTGATTAGATATGAAATTAGAAGACTACTAAATCCCACTTGAACAGACTTAGTGTAGTTCATTGCCAGAACTGCATTATACATTTTCTATGGATATATGTTTTTTTTGTGATACTGGAGGTTCAACCAATGACTTTTGTGATGTGTTTTCATATGAAGGCTGGAAGAATATTTGAAGAACCCTCACTAAAATTAAGATATTTGAAAATTAAAAGTAGAAAATGTGTATGCTAACTAGAATAGAAAAGCTATTTTTTTCAGTTAATTTCCTTATCATATAGCTAAAAAATGTAGGCCCTGAAGGGAAAAATGACACAGTAAATCTATGATGAAGTATGGTAATAAAACATAAGCAATAATATGATAATATAGCTTTTAAAATAGTTCTGTAAGTAATTTTTGTGCCCAGAGAAGTTTGTGAGTGATTATACCTACCATTCTTTGAGTTCTGGCACCTTATTATGTCATGAATCTAAATGACTTCCATAAATGTTCTGAGTGGTGCTTCATGAGTACAAATAGTGACTATCATACTGGCATGTCATTGGAACTGTCTTTAGGCTAGTAGTTTTAAAACCTGAATATAATAATTCTCAATTTTTTAAAAATCACTTTCTTACTGACCTACTTATATTCCATGGAAACCAGGAAGAGGCTCTAATGGTCATACTTGACAGATAATATTCACTGAGTAAACTATATATTGCATAATTGATCTTAAGATTCCCAGAAAGACCATTTTTTAAGCATCTGTTTACATCAAAAGAACCTCAGGGCTTTGTTGGATTTAGTAGGAGCAGGCAAGATAGCTGCCGAGAATTTGTCATTTCTGTGCTCTTTTAATTTATGACTGCCTCAAAGACCTCTTGAGTCCTTGATTTTCCTCCTTTCATCCCCTGAGCTGTGGAATACAGAAAAGCATAACTAAGGCAGTGGCATGCTGTATCCATCTTTGTCCTCCTTTACAATGATCTGCTGGGCCTAGTACCACCCCCAACATACAGCCAAATCATTTTTCAGGTCACAGGAAGCTGTGTTAAGATAACAACTCCTGCCATACATGTTAATAGTTTCTTGGATTTGACAGCATCTAGAGGTTAATGCCGGCTTGGAGGCTTAGTCAGATACCTGTTCAGATAGATAGGTCTGAAATGGAATTAGTCAGAATGGCCTGTGAGGAAGAGGATTAGATGGAATACAATTAATGGGAAATAGTGTTCCTTTTGTTTATAGAAGAGTGACATAATTCCTCAGTGTAGCTTTGCTAATCTAGAGAGACAGGCAACAAGGCCTCGGGGCCAGGTCCACAGGGGAGAGGTAGAAAAGAAAGTCACACTGATTGTTGCTAGCTCTGTGGCTGCAGCAGCAGCTGCTGTTGGGAAGAGAGGGTGCTCTGGGGCCCTCTGTTTTCTTTCTTCTCAGAGTTTACCTTGATTCAGATACAGCCACAGGGAGGTCAGAGATGGACTGCTGGTGCGATAGACCCAAGAACCCATGTAGCATTCGATGTCCTGAACAGTGTGATGTAACACTGGAGCAGGTCAGAAGCCCCACCCTGTCTGCCTGCACACTTAGGGTGTGGCAGCCTTTGCAGGAGAGGCTGCTTACCAGAATGGTTTCTGTGTGCTTCAGAGTGTGTGTGGAGAGTTCTTCCCACCCGCCCCTCTCTTTCTATAATAGTGCTGCAAATGACCTCTTCTCTTTAAGAGGCACAGCTAGCTGGGTGGGAAGGGAAATCTGCAGCAGTTCCAGTAATGAGCACAGTTATTTTAAATATTTCAGAACAATCCATATCTGATCTGAGTTTTTACATTATCACCTCTTCACCTTCTTAGTCCTGTATCCTTTTCAAAATATCTTCCCAGAAATTCACCTGACAATCATGTAAAGCTTATCAAAATGAAGAATTATTATTCTAGTTCACTTTTAAAAAACTCATAATTTTCTGTTACTATAAAAGAAACAGTTTGCTGACCATGAAATAGACTATGTCCTCACATCTAGAGTAGAGTAAAAGACTTAAACACTGACTATGAAAAAGCAGGAATAGTTTTTCTAGTGTGAGAAACTGAAAGTGTAAATAAGGACTAAAAGGTATAATAGATAATGTGAAATAGGAAGAAAAGGGGAGAAGGGGAAGGAGAAGTGGGAGAGTTAGGGGAAAGAAAGAAGGAAATGGAATTAATATGAGAAAAGAAAAAATGCAAACAATAGTCTTTATAGATAGGGAGGGGTGGAGGGGTTGAAGGGAGGGCAGGGGATTGGGGAAACAATAAGAACCGAGATGGATTATGTAAAGGTGCAAATTTTTAATGATGGATGTCATTACATTGTGTACCTGTACTAATAAAATTAATTAATAAAAAAAATTCCAGGAGAAAAAAGAAAAGGAAAGGAAAGAAAAAAGCAAAGCAAAGCAAAGATAAGGCAGGAGTTGATTTCGTAAAGCCAACTGCTACAGCATTTCATGTGTCCTTTGTCCTGAGAACAGGGGGGAGCTCTCCCAGGGAGTTGGGAACACTTCAGACTTGACGTTGGATAAAACTGCGATCCTAACCATTGAGTGACATAAGTTTGTCTCTGTTCTTTTACAAATACAAGTCAGTTGTTTGTGTGAGAGAGTCCGCCAACTGCCCTGGTGAGACAGGTGGCACAGCACTGCTTAAGACCAGGTCAGAGCTCTTACCTCCTCTCTGCCTGCTACAAAGAGTTCAGTGAGTGCCTCAAAGCTCATAAGATTTTGAGCTTTTATTTGATGTTTTTCACAAAATTGAAGTGTTCTGTTCTTTTTAATCTTTGCCATTAAGCCTCAGGAAGAGAATGTACCCTCCCTGGGGCTCAGCCTGCCCAGCATTTCCTTTCCCTTCTGTGCGAATAAGCCTTCAAAGGTGAAGTCACAGCCTTCCCCTTATCTCCAGCCTCCTTCTCGTTGTTTACACTGTGTGCACTTTGCCTCATTAATCACTTCCCAGGGTTTCACAGAAAATGACACAATACAAAATACAAAATCATTTCTGCTCTGGTGTCTGCCCAGGAACATGTGAAAATTAACCCCATCCAGGGGAAACTGAGCTTTAAATGACTGACTCTCAATTCCATGCACAAATTATGTAACCCAGCACCCCAAACTCGAGAAAACCGGCCCTTAATCGTTTCACGTTCCAGATTCCCCTTGGGAAGACGCCTGTGGGGAGATGCTTGCGATCTCATGTGGGGTTTGCCTCTGTGGCAGGATTCCAGTCAGAGCCTGATCCTCATGTCTGTTACCTACAAAACAGACCCAGAATATTGTGGCCCCTGTAGCCCCCCTCTAAACGCCTGCCATTCGTGTTTTCTTTGTTTTAAATTCAACCTCCTCCCAAAAGTAAGAGAGAAAAACCCCTCGTAGACTTGTGTCAAGATGCAACCACTTGCACATCTACACACCTGGGCTCCATCTGCCTATGCCACTTGGCCAGAAAGGAACCCTGCCCTCCCCCATTCCCATTGTGGGGGGAAAAATCCAAAAAAGAAATCTACCTCAGTGGACAGAATCTGCCTTTAGGGTTTCTTCAACTTGTGAGTCGTACCTGTTGAGGGTAAATTTGTAGTGTCTTGCTTTTCTGAGCAAGCTAGTGAGGCATGACAGAGCAGAAATACATCAGTTTTGCTGTAATGGACCTCTCCTAACATATTGCAGTTTTATTTTTAACAAGTTGGTAAGTGATATGAATGTAAAGGTAAATGTGTGCATTTTAAACATGACCACGAACATTTTAAATATAGCTTCCATACTTATGAAAAACTTCCAAAGTATGTTATTTTTATCAGTGTTAAATGGCTTTTTTTTTTTTTTTTTTGGTACCGGGGATTGAACTCATTCCTTGCGCTTTCAAGGCAGGCAGCGGAACTATTAAGCTAAATCCCCGGCCCAGTGTTAAATAGCTTTTTGTACAGGCTTCAATCCATTTTTCTGAAATGTGCTGTTTTCTTAACTAATGTGCTGTTTTTCCACATCCCATGGAACTGCTGTTTACACACTAACTTTTTAAATTTAACCATATGTTTCAGAATTAACTTTTTTTGAGGGAGGAAATCCCCCGCTTACTAAATTATACTAAACTATTGTTTGGGCTCTTATACTTAGGTCCTCAGACTTTATAAAAGCATAGTCTGTAGCTTTCTCGTTTCCTCACTAAAGTTGGTTTTACATAAAGATACCCAAATTCTTTTAAATGTCTGCGTTTTCCACTAGTGATGTAGTATGGGGAGTATTTTGTTCATGCATACTTTAGCCATTAAATTGGACACATCTTGAGCTTTTCTTAGTTAGTGTGAAACCATTTTATTTACTGTGCTTGGGTAAAGAGGATATTTCATTCTTTTTTTTTTTTTTTTTTTTGTACCAGGGATTGAACTTGGGTCCTTGTGCCTGTGAGGAAGGTGCCGGAACCACTGAGTTAAATCCCCGGCCCAAAAGAGTCTAATTTTTGCCTAAATCAACCAGCGGCAGCTAAAAACAGAAAATCATGTTACTATTAAAGCTTTATTAAAAGAAATTGATAGGGACTTTCTATCATTCTTTTTTTTTTTTTTTTTTTTGTACCAGGGATTGAACTTGGGTCCTTGTGCCTGTGAGGAAGGTGCCGGAACCACTGAGTTAAATCCCCGGCCCAAAAGAGTCTAATTTTTGCCTAAATCAACCAGCGGCAGCTAAAAACAGAAAATCATGTTACTATTAAAGCTTTATTAAAAGAAATTGATAGGGACTTTCTATATTTGATCAGTTGAATAGATACTGATGTTAATATATGGGAAATTTTTCTTCAGACTTATTCATGTATTATTCTGATCCATTTTCTATGGCATTTGGTTCAGTAAACCTTTGGAATTTGTCTTGAAAAATGCAAATAGAGATAGCAAAAGACAGTGGCATTATAGCTGTCTAGTAATTGTGGTCAGGCAAAGCATTGACTTGGAGTCAGCTGGTACTTGGCATCAATAATGTGCATTCTCATGTAAACACGGTCCGATAGAACTTTCTGCAGTGATATAAATATTGTGTTGTCCAATATAGTAGTTACCACATGTGGCTGTTGAGTACTGAGAAATGTGCATCTGAGAGTCTAAAATTTTAATCCTATTTAATTTTAATTAAATATGACTACTGGTTACTATATTAGACAGTATGTCTCTATGGTAGACTTCAGAAAGTGGTTTAAAGCGTGGATATCTTCAAATCAGGAAAAGAAAAGGCCCAGGAAGGAAGAAACTTGCCCCAAAGAGCAGAAGTACTTATTTACATCAGCAGCTTCTTCACAGCACCTAACCCTGCTGTCATTATCCTGCCCTGGGTATAAATGGCAGACTTATAAAACCTTGCCGAGGAGAAACTTTGGCAACATTATAGAGCCTGAAAGATCACCCTCAGAGCAGAGCAAGTAATTATAAAAAGGGTGAAATGTTAAAGGGACAAATGTAAAATTTTGCAGTTGGACTAAGAAATCAATACCTCAGAGATAGGTCAAAGGAGCTATAGTTTCTAGACAGCCTGCTTTCAAAAGACTTAGGAAATATTAGTCATAAGCTCAGTATAAACTAGTAAGATCCAGAAGAAAAACTGATAAGGCTCATAATAAAGACTTTTTGGCCAGGCATAGTAGTTCATGCCTGTAATTCCAGCAGCAGCTGAGGCAGGATAATCACCATGAGTTTGAGGCCAGCCTAGGCTACATAGGAAGGCCTTGTCTCAAAAAAAAATTCTAATAACTTTGTTCAGACAGAATAAATTGGTTAGGAAGTGTGGCCTGACTCTGGAGATGATAAAATTCATGGGACTGGCAAGTATGCAGAGCACAGATTGAAATCATGGAAGAATGAGAAATGATGCTACATAATAATATCTGTTGTGGCAGTTAGAACCCCCTTCCTTGTGATCATGTTTGGTCCACAATGACAATTCAATATATTTAGGGGGGAAAAGGCAGTAGTTGTGTTTCTTTTCCTTCCTTTGTTTTTCTAATTGGTGCTGGGAGAGTGAACAGGTTAATGACCTAAAGACATTTACAGATTTTCTAATTCTAGGGAAAAGTATCAAAACTGAATTATAACATGCCCTCTTGCCTTCTCTGAGTGTTGTAATTCCATTGAATGTTAGAGATATCACTTTCAGTCTGCCTTTCACTGGGGAGGCATTTGGATGGAGATAAGCTCAGACAAACAGAAAAAAACTGAGCAGGATGTAACCCTGAGCATATGGTTGTATGGTGTCTCAAGAATCTAGATGGAAAGTTGTACTTCTGGGGCTACGTTTGAGAAGGCATCCCATGTGATGTCTCTACTACAGAAATTTTTGATTTGTAATAATAATACTTATAACACTTTTGATGAACCAAGAGGAAAACAGTTTACATAATGATTATATTCATCTTATTAAACTCCTCAATAAAGACTACCATAAAGTTCTCCCCACTTTACAAATGAGAAAAATTTTAAAGTGATTTTTACTTTTTGTTTCTGCAGTACATAATGATCACATTCATTGTAGGAAAAAATTGGTACATGCACATAACACATCATAATTCTTTTTTCAACTCCTTCCTCTCCCCACCAATTCCTCTTCCTCCATCTCTTAGTCCCTTTCCATTTTGCAATCTCCCTGTTTCCAATTGTCTGTCTTTTATTTTGCTCTTTAATATATTTGTATTTTTCATCTCTCATATAAGAGAAACCACATAATAATTAAACTGACATATCTGACTTCTTTGACTTAATATTATGGTCTTAAAGTACATTCTTTTCCCCAAAATGACTTAAATTTACCCTTCTGTATGGCAGAGTAGTACTTCATTGTGTATAAAGAAAATTGAATCAAGGTGGGGGATGAGCAAAACTTGCCAAAGTCCACACCACACTAATCAGTGATAAAACATGGATTTGAACTCATATTCTGGCTTCAGATTCTATGTTCATAACCACTATGCTGCATCCCATCTCAGTATTGTTCAGAAGCAAAAGTGGTGTTCTTATTCCACAATGACTTTGGGAAAGCTCTCCCTAGATATAGATGTAGAAGAGATGATCACATTGTCTATGTTATTTCTGGTGTGAAGTCCTTGCTCAGTTTTATCAAATAGGTCATAATATATAATGGTGTAAAAATAAAGGAGTGTATTTCTCATGAGGAAAAGTCTGAACATAGAAGGTCTGTGGTTTAGGTATGGTGGTTCCATGGTCATTAAAGACTCAGGCTATCTACCCCTAGAGTATGGACCTTGTGTCTTTGGTCCAAGATGGCTACTATCTTCAGGTATCTATCCACATTTCAAGCACCAAAATTGAGTAAGGACTACAGAAATGTGTTCTTTCATCTTTAAAAGAGATTTCTCTGAAGCCCCTTCCCAGTATCTCTGTTTATATTTATATATCAGTGGACAGAATTTAGTCACGTACTCGTCCCTGCTGAAATGAAAGATAGGAAATGCAGTCTACTCTAGGTGGCATATATTCCCCTCTGAAATCAGTACTCTTACTAAGTAGGAAGACGAAAGTGGATGTTAGGATTAGAATCCAGCATAGTAGTTCCTGGGCACTTTGGTTCATCCATCTTGCACTCTTATGTCTTCACAGTGACTACAGATATGTGGCAGCTGCTTTGGCTGTCATGAGAAATGTGACTCAACAGATCAACGAACGCAAGCGACGTTTGGAGAATATTGACAAGATTGCCCAGTGGCAGGCCTCTGTTCTAGACTGGGAGGTAGGATGCTTATGAACAGGGATGCTGAAAGTCCAGACAGCCTGGTAAAAGTTTTTTGTATTAACCAAGCATAGACAAAGAAGCATTATAATTGTAGAAAGATTTAAATTAGGTATGAGACAAAGCTTCCTGACAGATATTGTGTACTTAATAGCTTCCTAGGAATATCAGAGAAAATTTTGTGGCAATAATTCATTAGGAAAGGAAAGATTCATCTCTTTTGGTGTTGTTAGGAAACAATTTAGTTGATTCGGTTATCTTTCAAATCTCTTGGAAGTACTGGATTTATGACAATATGCACACTTGGGTAAGAAGTAGTATATACACTTGAAAACATACTCTGGGGTTGGTTCTCTTGTATTTAATTATGTAGGATAGCCAATATAATTTTCCCATTGGTAAAATCACCTCATTCCCACACATCTACTAGGTCTATCCAATCATGAGTACTATAGGTCGTGACTGTTATCCCAGCCAAATCCACAGACCCCATTCTATTTGAAGTGTAATCTTCTAAAAGTACAGTGGTACCTTAGTTCACAAACTTAATTTTTTCCACAATTCTAGTTGAAAACTGAATTGGATGAGAACTGAAGCAAACTCAGTGGTTAGGTTCAATATTGACCTTATGGGGAAATTTGATTTGATTCTCGTCCAATTCATTTTGCAAAGAGAGTCATGGAAAGAATTAAATTCATGAACCAAGCTGCCACTGTAATCCCTGACAACACTCTATTCCATTATACACATTCATGACTTCTCTGAACTTAGAAAGCATGTGGCTGAAGTCACTCAAGCCTTCTTTCTTAGATACTCATCACGTGAATGATGGAGTAATGGCATTTCAAATTTATCTTGCAGTCCCAACTTCTGTAAATATTAGTCCACAGGCTAATATAACCAAGATGGAAGAAGCTGGACATGCTGCTAGGAAGTGGGCAGCAATCTTATACTTTGTGATCACAATGAATGTAGAGACAGCCAATTCCTCACTGCACTGGCCTCCACTCAATTGAACTTTATGTGATTAAGACATAGTAGGAGGACTCCAAGTTTGAGCTCAGCTTGAACAAGTTAGAAAATTAGTGTGACTTTGTCACAAAATAAAATCTTTTTGAGTTTATTGGTAGATTTTAGGTATACAGTACAGTTACATTCATTACTGGGATCCTGTTCCTTTACATGACAGGTCTTGGTTCTCATTTTTTCCCTTTGTCCCTGCCCTCCCTTCACCCCCTCGCCCCTCCCCGTTTACAAACACTTTATTTCCATTTTTTCATTTTCTCCTATTTTTTTCTTTCCCTTATTATCTTTCCCCTACCCTTCCCACTTTCCCTACACCGTTAGCCCCTTTCTTCCTATTTCACATTGTCAGTTATCTCATTAGGATCTTATGTACTATTACAGTTTATTCACACCAGAGAAACTATTTGGTATTTACACATGTGTGACTTATTTATTTCACTTAGGAGTATACCCTCAATATTTATCCATTTTCCTATTAATGAATCTAATTTCTCATTCTTATGGCTGAGGAAACTGGATAAAGAAGATATAAAGAAGATGTGGTTTTTCTCTAAATGTCTCAAAATAAATTTTTTAAAAGATGGATGTATCTGGGGGAGAAGGGAGAGAAGAAGGGAGAAGGAGGCTGGAAAAAGACCATAGTTGTGATCAGATGCTCCATTTTAGGATCCTATTTGAAGGGTAGTATCCCCATATAAGAGTGGAACAGTAGTGATTCTCTGAGATGCAGAAAAATGAATGAATCTATATAAACAGATCTTCTTGCTCATAAGAGAAAGCTATCAGTAGATCAGACTTACTAGAAAACCATGGATTATCCCTGCTTTGTGTCTTCTTTGCTTTATCCTCTTGCCTGATCAGAGTCAGAAGACTGGACCACATGATTTCTAGCAAGCTCATCAACTCTGATGCACTTTGAAATTGTGGGTTTCTTAGCTGGCCTTTTTTTCCTCTGGCAGATTTCTCTGTAACAGAAGGTAGCCAGAAGGAATTTATTTAGCAGTTGTCTTCTAATTCCCTGGAACATCTCCTTGCTTACCAATGCCTAGAAGATATTCTAATTCTTCCACATGTTCTAGGCCTCCAAGCCTCCAGTCCCCTAAGCAGAGGGCATACGATAACAAGAATAATTTGAAATCCCCTGGTTTACCCAGGTAGCTTCATGAAAACCAAACTTATAGCACTCCATCATGATTTAAAGGCTCAGCATCTCAACATGCTTTTCCTATATGTTTCTTGGAGGAGGCAAAAGGGCAATTCTAACATTTTGTTTCTTAGTGCGATTCATTGATACCCTGATCTCATCCAAGCCTGCACAACCTTTCCTGTTTACTGGAGCTCTTCTTCATTTAAATTGATGTCTTTTTTCATTCAGGCTGCTATAACAGTACTATAGATTAGTTGGCTTATAAACAACCTAAATTTATTTATTGTAGTGCTGCAGACCTCCCAAGTCCTCACTTTCAAATACTTTGCATTAGGGATTACAGTTCAATGTATGAATTTTTCGGGGGGGAACACAAACATTAAGTCTATAATAAGTCAGTGAGAAAAAATTCCCTGGGGATCCCTTTTCAGACTCTGAAGTCATTATAGACCTTGATAGCTCTAGAGGGATTGCCATCTAGGAAGTTTTTCCTCTTAAGATTGTACGGGTACATTTCAGAGGTCAGGATTTTTAAAGTATCTGTCATGTTTGGCATATCTTCTCTTAAAGACTTCTAGACTGTCAGAATAAAGAGCACTCTTAGAGGACACCCTCTATAACCCTGACTATGGTTGTGTGCACATACATAGTCGTAAACACATTCTCACTCACCTTCATATGCCTTGTGTATTAGTCAGCTTTCTCATTGCTGAGACATAATACTCAGCACCAACAACTTAAAGAAGGAAAAGTTTAATGGGTTGTGGTTTCAGGGGATTCAGTCCATGCTCCATTAACTCCAAGTCAGAAACATCATGGAGAAAGGGCATGGCAGAGCAGAGATCCTTAGTTTATGTGGCTGATAAATACAGCAAGGGAATGGCGCAGGTGAGGAAGGGATGAGGGATCATATATTGTACTTTAGGTCATGCCTCCGTGACACAATCAGACACACCTAAAAGTGTGCTTTACTAATTCTCTAGGCAGCTCCCAATCCAGTCAAGTAGAGAGAGTTAATCTTAACCCTCATACCTTGTAATGATGGTAGGAGACTAGAAGCAGATAGAGGCCTATTCCTGACCAAGGCTACGGTGAATAAACTGAAACTTGAATCCAGTCTCTTGATTTCATATATAGCATTCCTTTTACTGCTGTACCACATAGTTCTTGAACCTTCTACTTCTTGTAGCACAGTTGACGGTTTTTGTGATGTTTTGGTGACTTGTTTCTGCAGTAAAGACAGTGAGAATATCTTAGAGAGGGAGAGATTCAAATCCCATTCAAGTGGATCAATGCTAAGTAGTCTCTACCAGAAAGCCTTATGTCATGGATATTCCATGGCTTGTTGACTCACGAGATCTGTGAAATAACCTGGTTATTTCACCTGGTTATATAACTAGTTTCCTAGTATACGTTCTGAGTATATTCCATTTGTCTAAGAAGTTGAACAGAAAGTGTGGGAAAAAGGGAAGGGTTGGTGGAGTGGAAGAGGGAAGGAGGGAGGTAGGGAAGGAAGAAAGAAAGGAGAGAGAGGGTGGAGGGAGAAAGAGCATGAGAGCACAAGCAGATTGATGAGAGTTGCTGTGGACAAACTTTACAAATCAATCAGAAGCAATACTTTGCTGCCTCTGCCACCCCCTTGCCTCCCAGATGTTTGAACAAAAGAGATGGTTGTCAAAACATCCACACAGTAATTTCAATTTCACTTGTAAAATGAAAAACTGGGGTCATAGGAGAAATCTTTAGTGTTTAATCTCCCTTTAAGAAGAAATTGAAGGGATGTTGACAATTGGGTAGTTGATTCCTACTCAATAAATCAGATCATCTAACTGGAAAGCAAGAAACCTTGTGTTACATCAAAGCCTGTCTCTTTTCCCTAGCCTTTCATCATGAACTTTCTACTTCTCTTTGCCCAACTTTAGTTACTCTCCCTGCCTCCTGTCATCTTATGTACGAGAATACTTGAGATAACCGCCCCTTTGCCCTACACCCCAGGACTCCTGAAAAATGAACAAATGAATTAGAGCATTGCCATCCCACTAATACAACATTATAGGGGATTAGGAAAGGAGCAGGGAGAAGAACCTTCTTCCCAGCAACTACAGTTTATAGAAAGTTTCCATTATTAATTTCTCTCATGCTGAAATTTGATTGAGCTATCATCTTGCTACATTTCACACTCATCAAATCAACTTGAAAGATAAGGGAAGGGAAGGAAAAGAAAGGAAAGGAAAATAAAGGGAAAGTATCACTGACAGTCTTTTTAACCGTTTTTCCCTGGAGACTTTTGGCAGTCACCCAAGTGTATAGCTCATGTTGAAGATGTTCATTGTGTATGGTTATAATTTTCTCCTTCCTAGTCTAGTTATGTGATACTTAAGGGTCTTTTCCAGTTTTCCATTGGATGATTGAATCAAAAGAACTTAGTAAACACAAAAAGCCTACAGGATAGAGGCAGTAAAACATCTTTTTAAAAGCTAAAGTGATGCAATAAAACATACTCTTGGGACCAGGAGGCTGGATGGATTTGTCATTTCTCTACAACATGGGAGATAAAGTGGATTTTTTAAAAAATGATATTTCCCTTGTCCTTTCACTGGATCTGCTTGAGCCATAGCTCCACATCAATCAGCATGTAATTAGAATGGAGTAAAGTAGGACAGAGTGTGGTGAATTAGAATTAATCATAATGGGGTAAAGCCTCTTTTCTAACACTGTATCATTAGAGAAGGAAGATGACTGAGCTGGCAAGAAAGTGCTGCACAATGGTTTTAAAATAAAGATTAGCCGGGCGTGGTGGCGCATACCTGTAATCCCAGCACTCGGGAGGCTGAGGCAGGAGGATCGCTGTGAGTTCAAGACCAGCCTGGGCTACATAGTGAGTTCCAGGTCAGTCTCAACTACATAGTGAGACCCTGTCTCAGAAAATAAATATATAAAAATTAAAAGATATGTATAGTTTTTAGTGACTACTATTTATTCAATATCCATTGACTCATGTATTAATTAGACATTTATTGAGCAGTCATTTTCTCATCTCAGGGACAAAAATACTCAACCCTCACAACATAAAGCAGGAGAGATCTTTTTTGGCTCACTGTTTTAGTCCATGCTTGGCTGACTCCAAGGCAAGAACAGAATGGCGGAAGAGAATGGCAGAGGAAAAGGTACTCAACCCATGATGTCTAGAAAGCAGAAGGGAAACTCTGGGGACAAGAATGCTGTATACCCTCCCAGATCATACCTTCTGTGACACACCTCTTAACAGGCCTCACCTCTAATAACATATTTAGGTAATGTACATATCACTGGCTGAATCTACTGATGACTGTCGCACCCCCATGATCCAGTCGCCTTCCACACACACATGAAAATTTTTAGGACATTTTAGATCCAAACTATTCGAAGCACCTACTCTGTTGGACTTCATTATAGGTTCTGGAAGTGTGTCGGTGAACATAAAAAAGTTCCTTCCATTTTTAAATGTATATTCTAGTGAGAAACAGAGTTAAGAAATTAATATATATGTTCTGGTAGTAAAGAGGGCTATAAAAAAATAGAGAGTAACAGACTATACTAATGTAATTCCTGAGGAGTTGACTTTTGAGAAAAGAAGTGAAGGAATAAATCATGTGATTCTAGTGAGGCAGAGCATTTTAGTCAGAGGGAAGAAAATATACAAAAGCCCTAAAGTATGGGAGTGTGTACTCAAGGAGACTAGTGTGGCCAGAGTTGCATAAATGGAATGTAGAGTCAGGGCAGATGAGTGTTAGGGAAGTAATGGAAACAAATTATGTCTATATTTCTTCAGTTTTCATTGTAGATGGGAGCAACTGCACAGTTTTTTTTTTAATTTTATTGAGTTTATTGGTACATTATAGGGATACAGTACAGTTACATTCATTGTTGGGATAATGTACCTCTACATGGCAAGTCTTGATTCTCATTTTTTCCCCTTACCTCTGCCCTCCCTTCACCCCCTTCTCCCCTCCCCATCTACAAACACTTTATTTTCATCTTTTCATTCTCTTACATTTTTTTCTTTTCCCTTTTTGTTCTTCCCCTACGCATCACACCTTCCCTACACCTTTAGCTCCTTTCTTCAAATTTCTAACTGTCAGCAATCTTATTAGAATCTTATGCATTGTTGCAGAATATTCACACCAGGGAAACTATTTGGTATTTACACATGTGTGACTTATTTATTTCACTTAGGAGTATATCTTCAATATGTATCCATTTTCCTATGAATGAATCTATTCTCTCGCTCTTTATGGCTGAGTAATATTCCATTTTATAGAAAAACCACAACTTCTTTATCCAGTTTCCAACGGATGGGCAAATAGGTTGTTTCCAAGATTTAGCTATTACAAACTGTGCCGCTATAAACATGGGTGCACATACTTCTCTGTGATATGATTCTTTTAGTTCTTTTGGAAAGATACCCAGCAGAGGGATGGCTGGGTCAAATGGAACCTCCAGTCCAAGCTCTTTGAGGTATCTCCATATTGATTTCTATAGTGGTTGCACTAGTCTGCACTCCCACCAACAATGGAGAAGGGTTCCTTTCTCCCCACAACCCCGCCAACATTTGTTATTGTGTGATTTCTTGATAGCAGCCATTCTTTGTGGGGTGAGGTGGAATCTCAGTGCAACTGCATAGTTTTGAGTCTCTCCTTTTTGCCAGGGTCTGTGGTAGGTATTGGGGATATTGAGATTGAGATATTGTCTTGGTCATCTAATCGGGACAGGGACATTCCTAGGAAAGGGAACAGTGTGAGGAAAATCATGGAGGAAGGGAAAATAAGGCCCAGGAGTGGTAGTAGAAAGGGATTTCATTTTGAAGAACAAGAAAAAGAGATGTGTGGTACAAATAAGCCCGAGTAGGCAAGAGTGAGCTCTGAAAAATGTGTCCTTTCCCATGCACAAACAGCTTTGGTGCTCTCTAGTGGTCATGGATACAAACAGGAACCCCATTCTAAATAAGGAAACAAGTTGAGAGAGTTTTAGCTACTTTCCAAGTGCCCAAAATGAGTTGCTAGCAGCACTGAACCCAAACTCAACTCAGATTCTCACCTCAGAAATATTTCATCACAATTGGTTTTTCCATTCAGAAAAGTGCCATCATTCTAATGCAGTTTGGTGTTAAAGAGCATGGGCTTTGGAGAGAGTCTGACTTGGATTCTCCTTTAGATAAATTACTTCTAATTTTTCTGATCTTTGAGTGTAATAATTGTGTATCTCTTATTAGTTTGTTGTATTAGTAGAAAACAGGATGTATATACTACCTGGTGCACATAGTAATAGTCAAGATAATAAAAATCACATATACAGCTTACAGTGTGATGTGTACTTTCCTAACCACTTTATATATGCTAATTTAAACACTTTACATAACAGCCAAACAAAGTTAGTAATGTTATCATCCCTACTAAAGATAAGAAAATTGAGGTACAATAAGGATAATTAAGTTGTCCAAAATCAATCAGCTTTGTGAGCATAGTGTTGTATTTTTTTCAAGACATTTTTGTTTTTTGTGTTTTTTTCTTTTTTTTTTTTGAGACAGGGTCTCACTGTGTAGTTGAGACTGACCTGGAACTCACAGTGTAGCCCAGGCTGGTCTTGAACTCACAGTGATCCTCCTGACTCAGCCTCCTGAGTTACGGGGATTACAGGCTGGCGCCACCACGCCTGGCAAGACATTTTTGTTTGGAGTTAGATAGGATGAGTACTTACTTGGGTGGTACAGTGGGGCTAAAGCATACTCAGTAATCCTCACTTTAGCAAGTGGTACCTTTTAAAAAAGTTATCCTTGCCATCTTTTTATATCATTGGTCTCCTTTTATTGCTTTCTTTCAATTCATACATATTCAAAGTGATACATCTTCCTCACCTGCATCAGGTCGGGTGTGGTGGCCTGGTACCACTTAGCTTTACATCCCCCCATCAGTAAAGCCCTGCACAAGTCCCTGACCCTAATGGCAATTCTGTCCCAGCCCTAGAGCTCCAGAGGTTCTGTGCTAGTATGTGAGCCCCTCCATAATGGTTATTCACCTAGATTTTGTATAATCTTGAGGCTAAGTATGGAGCCTAGAGTTGAAACATTATTTCTGAAATTCTTTCAAGTTCTATTATTGGAATATAATTCTACTGAGCTTCCCCCTTTTTTCATCACCTTTAGAGTAGAAAAATGGTGTACTCAAGAACACTATTTCCAGATGCCCTTTTATTTGGCATAGTACCCTGCATGGACTGCTTTCCTCTGATTATTTCTGGGAAGGTAGAGGGCATTTTGCCTTGAGTCTTTTGTCTGTAAGGCTGACATCTTTGTGTTAGAATATCAGAGCTGAAAACACTAAATGATCTTTCTCATATGCCTCATTTAACAACAGGAAAAGCTGAAACCCGGAAATAGGAAAGCTTTACATTGACTTTTTGGACTAGAGATGACATAATGTAAGATAAGGAGTTGAGTGCACACTTTGGAACTGCAGAGACTAGAGTTGGGTTGAGGATCTGCAGCTGATTAGATGAGTGATGTTGGCTTATCAATTGACCTCTTTGTACTTGAAACTATAAAGGGAGCAAGAATATTTACCTCACAAGGCTATTGTGAGGCCCAGATGCGGTAGAGTAAAAGTATCTAGCACAAAGTCTGACCTATATAGGTGTTAAAGTAAGATTAATTTGGCATCTGTGGCCACTGTCCTTTCTGCATAGGCCCTAGAATACTCATCCCTGTGTCTTTGGCTTTGGTGTGGTTTGTATTCCATGATTTCTGAGCACATCTGTGTTCATCTCTTCCACTTAGATGTACTCTCCTTTAAAACAAGGACTGAGTCTGAATTGGCATCTGACAGATACTCCCAGCATACCTGTAACTTTTCAGAGTTTTCATAAACAAGGAGGGAGGACTTAAAAATAATATAGAATTGAATTACCTAAGAGTCAAGTGTGTTGATGCTTTTTTAAAGAAAATCTGACCTGGGCCGGGGATTTAGCCCAGTGGTTCCACCGCCTGCTTTGTAAGTGCAAGGACCCGAGTTCTATCCCTAGTACCAAAAAAAAAAAAAAAAAAAAAAAAAAAAA